GTAAATATATTTAATTATATATATACATAGATTTTTATTAGAAAAATCGTCAAACAAAATTGATTTAAAATTATATGTAAACGATAGTTGTCACACGCACGATACAAAATACTAAGCATAGACTAATAAATCCTCATATTGGGTTATTACTATTATAATAGATCTCAGAGTAATATTTAATAATAGTAATAAACGGATATGAAGATTTTTTTTAATATATATATTACACTCTTATGTCTTTACAATAAAGAGTCGTAGATCATGACACATAATTAATGTTGTAAAACATTCTATAGTTCAACAACATCTTGTTTTTTTCAGTGAACACTATTTTTCGTAGTTCACCATTATGATAATTTTCACTTGTTGTTTTTTTAATATAATGCACAAGTTAGTGCATTTATAGCAAACACGTTTGTTTAGTTAATAAAAAGAAACATTAAATACTTGCAAATGCACTGTTGATATTGAATTAAATAGAAATCTAAAATGATTACCGTTTCACACATGAGATATTATTGAATTCTATATGATCTTATTAGAATACAATAACATCCTGTATAGTTTTGTAAATATCCGGTTGATAGAATTGCTCAATTATTCAAGATGAGAATTTATATGATTTCCGGTTAAATTTAACACTAGAAATTTGATAGTAATACTATCAACCGAATTCAATCACCTAGAATTTTATTTCACACAATTGTATTTTAATACTGATGCTCACCTACATGCTAGTTTTGTATTAATAAATCATTAAAATTCATATTTATTCATAGCACTTCGTTTTATTCTTCAACGAAATGTTCGTATTGCTGATTGGATATACTGTAATTTAACAGCTGAAGATGATATTGGTGATACTGAAGAATCATTTCGTGGTTATCTTAAAGAAAAAATTGAAAAAGGAAAGATTAAATCATGTAAATATTTATTCTTTAAACATGCGATTTTGTCTTATTACAAAATTATTTTTAGGTCCATATCAAGCAAGTAAACAATTAATTTTTATGATGATTGAAGAATTATTTATAATGAGTAAATTTGAAAATTGGACAAAAACTGGTTCAATAGATCGTAATCATCAAACACCATTAGAAAAATCTGCTCATTCGGATTTTAAAGCCTATGAACATGAAAATCATTTACATTGGATATTTTTAGCAACACGTTCAGGTATAACTGCTTATTGGAGATTATCGCATTTAGCTAATGAGGAACATATACGGTAAGAAATATATATATTAATAAAGAGAAAATTTTATTCAAAATAATTTTTTCTAGACAATTCGGTGATGCAAATCCAAATTCAATTGAATCAAATTATTATGAACGAACAATAAGTGCAACTTATTCTTATAATGCTGATCATATTCATGGTAAACATCATATATATTCACTATTTTATGGAATGACAAATGTACCAGCTACAAATTCACGTATAGTCCTTTTATTTTAAAAGAAATGACCTTTTCGTTTTTCTTCCTTTAGAAATGCTTTATGAAAATCATACAAATACAACAGGTATTTTATTGTAATTATTCATAAATATTTCTTAATTTTGTTTTTTTTTCTTATAGAAGGAAATTTCGGATCATCAACATCGTCACAAATGTATTTAGTTATAACAACAGCAATTTGGATGAATAAAACATCGGATCGACCAAATAATACTCCAAATGTTCCATTTGGAGTTTTTGGAGTTATGTTACCATATAAAACTGTTCGTTCAACACATTTCTCAAATCTTTGTGTATTTATTTCAAAATATATATATTTATATTTAACTTGATGAAAATTATTTTTTTTAGGCTGAATTAGATACAGGTGTATGTTATATTATTGATGAAAATGGATATATTATGTTTATAGGTCAACAACAAGGAATTGATCGAACTGTATGTTAAAAAATGAATTCTATTCATATGATGCTTAGCAATAAATTTTAGGATGATATTGGTAAATTTTTAGGTGAATTTGAAGGTGCAGTTATGCAAGATCTTATAGCAAAAAAAATTTTTTCAGAGTAAGTATTTGATAACTTAGTTCCTGTTTTTCTGTACTTTTCATACATAATCTGGCTACCACCCACACCCTAAAATAGGATCCATCTCATGCTGATTTAATATCAGTGGCGGATATAGCTATTCGGCGACCGCCACCCCTCGAAAATAGATACTTCGACAAATATTGAAAACAATTAGAACACTACAGGTTTCTCTCCTAAAAAATAATAGTACTTTCCACTTTTTTTTCGTAAACCGCCACCCCCTCATGGAAATTCTAGATCTGCCCCTGTTTAATATATAACTGAATTAATAACTTATCATAGTAGGACATAATTGAGTCACATCCGAGAAACTCAAACTCACCGGATATTTATAATTAATTTAAATAATATAACATAATCTTTGTTTTTTTTAGAGAAAAAATGGTCGATTTTCAAGGTGTTTGTTTACAGCGTCAATTACGAACAGAAAAAAGCTCCGGTCATCTCTTTCGCGGTGTATGTTTAATGGAAAAAAAAATTATTTAAATTTTTGTTGTATTATTTCCGTTTTTTAGATTATTCAAACTATAGTGGCTATGATCTGGAATATTATTAGTCATATAGCAATGTATAAATATTATAGAATGTTTTTTATTATTTTATATTTTATTTACTATCATTTAGGTTTCCTATTCGTGATATACTCTTTTTTCCTCAATGGACTTATGCAGGAAAAAAAGTAACTGCTCCTAATAAAACTACTGTTCCAGAAAGTCTTAGTAATATTCTTTTAACACATATTGATTTTCGACGACCAATATTAGATAATAAACGATTAAATAAAAGAAAAGAAGATGAAACTATTGGAAAAATTCCTGCATCATGTATTGAAGAATTTAATTTATATGTATCAACATGGAAAGGATGGCATGGATCATTACCATCAAAAGATAATAAAATAACATGGGAACAAGTTGAACAAAATAATACAATACGTGGAATAGTTAGTTGTACACAATATGGAAAAGAAATAATAGATTATTCCTATGACAATGAAACCAATAGTTCAACAACAGTACCGACAATAATTTTTGCTGAATCATTTAGGTATAAATAAAAATATATACAAAAAAATACGATCATTTTATTATTTATCTTTTAGTTATTCAATATCAAAAATTCCAAAAAGTAATTTAATGTTATTATATGTAAATCATTCCAAAGAAGCGCCATTATTATGTCCAAAATTAATAATTAAACGTAAACCAGTTGAATTTAGTAAAGAAGAATGGTGCACACGTTTAAAAACTACACCATATCGTGAACGACCACATAAATGTTTTTTTGTACATGAAGAAGAAAAGACACCATTATTTACTAAATGTTCATATGCAAATCAATTAACTTATCGATATTCATTTATTATATCGTTTGTAATTCTAATTAAGATATTTATATGGCAAGAAACAAAAAATCAATAATATTTTCTAGTCCGACGATGATAAGCCGGTTGTTGTATTACACTTCAAAAATATATGCATTTCCCTTTTGATAGATTTCCCATTATAAATAAATATATATATATATATTCTTGTTTATGTTTTTTTTATGTGATAGAAGAAAAATAAATGTATGAAAATAGTAGGAGTTTATTTACGTCAATTTAATAATAAGGAAATTCTTTTTTTTTTATAAATATTCTTAATTCTATTTAAATACTATTGTCAATTATTTGTCTAGCAAATACTCGATAATCAAGTGTCATTGATAGAAATTTAGCTGTTAGTTTTCATTCGTGTATTCGAATCATTATATGTTTCTGTTTCAATAGTTTGACTTTATTCATTTTTTCAGAGAAAATCAATATTTGCATTTGTTTTATCGATTGTAAAGAAAAATCTATTTTTACATATGACAATTTTAATTTAAAAAAAAACATATTATATTACCGAAAGTAAATTAACATAAGACTATTTCTTTGTAATTGAAGGGGAAAAAAAGTATAATCGGACAGAGGATTGAACGTTTATAAGAATGCATATTTTCTTCTAATTAGACGCACGCAATATTATTTCTATTGTTATATGTCGAAATCAATTTAAATACTTGAATATACATGCATTCTTGCGATATACAGAATGATTATAAAATCATTAGTTTTGACAGTAGTTCGTCTTATTCATAGGTTAATGGATGTGTTAGTTGATGTATATACATATATTAAATTGTTTTATATTCTGTTCCAAAAATTTAGAGTTTATTTTCTAGTTCAAAAGAACATTTCATCATTTATTCTAATTACTAGATGCTACATCATACCAATCAAAAACGATATCTCTAATGAAGTCTACGTATCCTTGTCAGTTTTATTTCTACTTGTTATCTATTTCAAATAAAAAGAATATTCTTGATCATTTGCCATTAATTGGAGGATATGTAGGATGGGTTAATAGATATCTTTCTTTATCGCACGTGTCGGCGTACGATTATGGGTTGAGAAGTACGAATATATCTTCTCCAACCGTAATTGTATAAACTGAAAAAGCAACAATAAGATAGATAACGCTAACTGTATATCTACAATAATCTAAAGACATCATTTAAATTTAACACTTCACATCTATTTATTATATTTATATTAATTGCGTTGTCGTTTTATTGTCACATTAGACACAATAATAACAAAGCAGGTAAAAATTAGCATTCGAAAAAAAAAACGACAAAAAAGAATGGATAAAGTAAAAGGGTTATTGTTTTTTTTTTGTATCATTCATATTTTCTATCTTTTTGTTGCTGTAATATTTCTTATTTTGCTTTTACATGATAAAATGAAAGAGACCAGATATGTAAAATAACAAAAAAAAATGCGAAATAATAATAATAATAATAATAATAGCACAAATATTTTTTTTTCTGTAAACGGTGATCAAAATACAAGAAAAAAAGAGAGCATGAGTGAAAAAATGTTGGAGAAAGAATGTCTGGTTTATTTTTAATTGAAAGTATTATTCTACTTGGATTTGGTTTTTTCGCTGATAATTGCAGCTAAATCAAGGTCTGATTTGCATGTTGCTTGTAAATGATTACGAATACCTTGAAGAGCATTTTTCAAAGCATCTTTGCTTGATGCACATAACATTTTACGTTTGATTGTTGCAGTATCTGGCGCCCTATATATTACATACATGCAATTCATAATAAAATGTGAAATTAAAATTTTTACCATGCAATGAAATATATTTCTGCACGCGATCCTTCACTTGTTTCATAGAAAATATCGATTACAGCATATCGTACATCATTTTCTGGTAATTCTTCGAGCATTTCAGCCCATTTTTTATCTAATTATTTAATAGAAAAGAAGAATTATAAAATTAAACAAAATGTCGTTTCTTTTTTTTTTACTTTTTTCATTTGCAGGTGCATTTTGTGGGACTTTATTAACACCTTCTTTAAGTATAACAATTTTTGATATATCTTCACTGAAACCACAAACAAGATAACCAATATTCTTTTTTATTTTAAATTCATGAAATTTTTCAATAACTGAATTGTCAACTTTAACGCCAGATGCCTATTAAAAATAGATTAAAGATATTTTGTTAGATTAATATATAGATAAATGATTTGCCCAACTAAAAAAGGAATATTTCACTTCATTCGAAACTATCTAAACTTAGTTTTATTTATTCACCCACCAAATTATGCTACAAAAAGGTTTCTTAGTTTATAGAGAGATTTTCTTTTGGTTGAAAAACAATGCACGTGTTTCTTACCATGATAATCTACGTAGTTTGTATGTCTGTCTTTGTCGAAGAAGGAAAAAGAAGAAGAAGAAGAAAGTAGAACTGTACGATCGATGATGGTGCCCTATTTGGGATCGTCTCTATATGTTTTTTCTCGTTTTTTCTTCTCTTTTCCTTTGCAATATACACATCAAAACAATTCCATATACAGTGTTGATACTATATTATTTCCTCTTATGAATCATGAGAGGAGAGGAGGAGGAAAAAGAAGAGTACAATCGAGCATCTTCCTAGTTTCATCTTTCTTATTCTCGTATATAGCTATAATTATCTTCCGTCAGCAGTAACGGGCGTATATCTCACAAAACATAGCATATCTCATCGAAAAGTGCTTTCTTTCTCTCTTACTATTATTTAGATAGACATACAGACAACGAGAGAAAAATTGGAAGAAAATAGAAAGCGAATGAATGATAGGGTCACTTACCGAACCAGACATGATGTATACAGTGATGATTGTTAAGAGTAAATGTTGATATTGGTAAAAATTGGAGAACACAGTATGGATGTTTGTTCACAATAATCGGAAATAAATAAATAAATAGCAATGAGATACAATTAGAATATTATAAGAAGAAAAGACAACGTCGTCTTGTTTTTATACTCGACGAACGTATGACATTATAGAAATCGTAGGCGAATATTTTAAAAGAACATGGTTATTATTCATAATTTTTTCATTTTTCAATTTTTCAATGTACAAAAAAGGGACCCCGTCTACAACGATGAAGAGCTGATTCGGTCATTTAAATGACCAAATAAGGAAAGACATGAATCACACGAGAAAAAAGAAAAAGAACGAATAAGGTAATAAGATAAAACAGATGTTTTTTTCACAATCTGAGATATTATATGACGAGTAGGACTACTAAATATGGTCATGTTCAGAAGGAGATATTTCAAAACACGATGAAAAGTATATTTTATAGAAATCCTATTTAAATCGAACGTAATATGCCCTCTGTTCTCTTATAATAATTGGTCTGAAGTTAACCAGTCACATGTTGATTAGTCATTTAAAAATAAAATAAATGAGATGATGAGTATCATAAAGAGCTTATATTTATATTGATGAATTATTAAACAGAACGAAATAGATCATCTTTGATAAACAAATAATTATTTTGTTTAATACCGATGTTAAAGGAAATGCCAATTGAAAATCAAATCGATTTATATGAGAACATCATATATACATAACATTGAAAGTAAAGTAGTATAGTATACACAAGCATATGAGATCAAGTCTATTAGAACTAAAGGTAGAAAGTAGCGAATGATAGTTGATATTTAACTTTCCACTTATTTTATATCTAATATCAAATCTGAATAGATCTTTGTTAGAGTTGAATAAATTCAATAATAAAAAAGAAGAATATTCTAGAGTAACATAAATGCCATTCATGAACAATCGAAAATTTATAAATTCTTAAACAATACATGTAAAGTAAGGTGCAAAAGTCTTCGACCTGTACATAAGTCAACTTTCTACAAGATAGGATGAAATCTACATATAGCTATGTAAATTACAAAATCAATCGATACTGACGCTTGTAGCAAAACAATAATTCCAAATACCGGAGTTAAATGATGAAGCAGTCCTTAGACACTGTATCGAGAAGCGGGAATCATTATATCTTGGTGAACTAGAGAGATTTTTGCGTGAGAAATTGAGCAGAATCAACATGTCTATTCTAAATAATTTGATGAAGTTGATGAAAGCACGATATTTAGCTTTGATTGGCACGGAGTAAGAGAGAGACGATTAGTTATTAGTTGTGACACTTGTGTACCTTATATCATATCTCATTTATCACTTTCATTCTCAAAAACACTTGGAATACTAAGGACAAAGAGATAAGAAAGAGTACCATTAGGACGTATTATTTTATCTCATTGAATTTTTGTGCAAAACGCATCAGCTCTTCTATATGAAATCAATGTTATTATATCATTCAATTAAATCTTATTATACAGTACCAATGCGAGATGAATCTACCGTTAAAGAGATGATTTCATAGTTACATTTGTTATAAATTTACATGTTTTTTCTTTACCGATAATCCGTCATAGAGAATAATATTAGATGAAGATGTTATTTCTTTATACGAAAAGATTTACTTGTAACTATGTCGCACGATGATAAGAAATATTACTTGTATTGTTCATATATCTTCCTTTCATTTATAAGATATCTGCTAAAATAATTATTTTATTCAACAACTTGCGTCATCTGTATTTGTTAACAAAATATCGATTGGTTTTGTTCAATTGTCAATCAAACTTATAGTTTCAAATTGTAGAGATTTATTTAGTTGTTCTGTTCTGATAATCGAAATAAATGAGTAATTTTTTAAAATCTATTCAACCAGCACTCAATGAAATAGTTTATGATATAACTGGAGTAACTGTAAGATATTTTATTATCGAATAATTTTGAATATTATTATTAAATTCTTTAGCTTTCTGATAGATTTAATCCATATAAAAAATTATTTGAAGATACAATTATACATCGTTCAAATATAAATGTTGAAAAAAGTAAAGTCGAAAAAAGTATTCAAGGGTATATATTATTTATTTAAAGAATATTTAAAATATTTTCTTATCTATTAGATTAAAAGAAAAATATATAATTCATGCACAAGATAAAAAAGCTGATCTATTACAATTTCTTATTAAACGTTTTAATAATCGACCTTTATTAGATCATTCACCTGAAGTAGATATATAAATTTTTAAGAAAATATTTTATTTGTTTATTTTATTAAGAGTGAATTTCATCAATCATGTATACAATTTATTATATCATTAGCTCGAAAACCACTAGAAGTTGATTTAGATGATTTTTCACATCTTTTATACGAACAAATTGGTTAGTAAAATCTATTAAATAAAATCGAATCGATATAGAATTTATTTCTAGAGGAAGCGAACTTTAATTGGCCAGCATATTTACTTGGTAATGATTATCGAAAACCGACAGGTTCGATCGACTGGCATGGAGTAAAAAAGATCTGATTGATATTTAATTAATCTATTCGATGATTTATTTACTTTTAGGATGAAAGTATAAATGATGATGAATATGATGATGAGAAAATTGATTCAACATTTAATCAAAATGATAGTATTGCAGAAGTTAATTTTGATTCAAAACCGATTGATGATATTGAACAACAAAATTAGTAAAAATATTCTTGTAGTAGAAATTCTTAAGCTTGGTTTCTTTTTATTGAAATAGTTCATTACTTAATCGAGATATTATTACATCATATTGGCATCGAACATTATCTGATGATGTTTCACCATCTCTTAATGATTTTGCTCTTTTTTGGTAAAATATAAATATATACGAAATTTTTATTCTATATTGTATCTTTTTAGGGATCAAAATATGATGAAAACGACTCATTTAGCTTACAGAGTTAATTCTCAAACATTAACTGAATATATTCTTATTCGAGAAACTTTATGGTAAAATAAATCTTTTCCGCTTCTCCTCTTCAAACCTTAGCGACCGGCGTCAAAGTTCTATTGATTATAAATCAAAGCAGAACCTCTTAAAACTGCTGGGTATAGCCAAGAATGTTCTTGAATGAGGAGGATAGGTGGGTGATGGGTTAAGTTATTACCCGCATCCACTCACTCTTTGCGGAAGATTAAGAGGTTAAAAGTGTCTTTGATACGAGCAAAGGGATATACGACAGAGACATCATGCATAGAGTCTCATGAAATCTCATGAAGTCTTCTAGAATTTCTATGTATGCATGTATTTCATGAGGAGACGAGGGAGAAACAATAGAGACTTCATGCATAAAGTTTTGGAAGTCTGGAAATCTCTTGAAGTTTATGAAGTTCCTTGAAATCTGTGAAGTCCATTGAAGTCCCTTTCAGTATTTAGAAGTCTATCGAAGTCTTCTGAAGTCTTAATAAAAACTGAAGTCTCTTGGAGTCCGCTGTTTCCCCCTAGGATACGAGTATATGTGAATTCCACATTTTTAGCCTCGACAAACCTGCACTAAACAATCCTTTTCTCATTTGAAATCTATTGAATTTTATTTAAGGCTTTTAATGAATTCATCACAATTACATATATATACTATTGATGGAAATAATCAAGCACATATTGCAGATTTTGTTCGTCTTTGTGATGTTACACCAGTAAGAAAACTAAAAAATTATTTTATTGAAAAAATTTATTTAATCATCTTTAGGTTAGTATTCAAGAATGTCTTGAAAAATTTACTAGACTTTCGAATCAATTTCGATTAGCAAATGAATTTTTAAAAAAAATTAATCATTCATGTCGAACATTATCATCATTTGCACAAGTTCTTCAAGATCAAATTAATTTAATTTATTTACAACTTGCTGATATTGAAAAACGGTGTCTTAAACAAGGTTTGATTTTAGTTTTATTGTTTTTTTAAATAAAATTTCCTCGTTTTATTATAGAATGTACATATACAATTTTATTATTTTATCAAGAATTAGAATCTCTTGGAATAATATCTAAAGGAGAATGTATTGAACGTTTATTTGATCAAATATCATTTTATGATAACAAATTAAATTGTGATTTAACACTTGAACTTATTCATATTTTATATAAAAATCTTCTTATGTCAGAAATGATTAATAATTCGATATTTTTTGTAAGTCATTAATCATTTTTTTCTTAATTAAATATTTTTTACTTTAGAATTTTTTATTACCACTTTTTATATCAAGTTGTCGAATTTATTTGGAAATTATTCAAAATTGGCTTGCTAATGGAATTATAAATGATCCATTTGATGAATTTTTCATCCAACGGTAAATATATTAATTAGGAGAGATATAAAAAATAAAGATTTATTTTTAAGAAAAACTGATGTGCCTGTTGAATCGATTGATTTTTGGCAATTATCATATACTGAACAAGTAGAAAATGCTTCGTAAGTTTATCTAATTAATTTATAATAAATATTCATTATATTTAATTTCATAGATTAATACCAAAATGGTTAGCCTCTATAGTACCTTCATTAGTAAAGGCAGGTAAATGTGCGGAAATACTTAAATCAAATGGTGTATTAACAAGTAAAAAAATTCGATATTTTTTTGTTTAATGCTTATCGTTTAATATAGATCAAAAAGAATCTCAATCATTTGTTGAAGAATTCTCTAAATGTCTTGAAGAAAATCTTAGTTTAAAAAAATTTACTTGGAATTCTTTAAATTCTTTACATAATTTCGAAACAAATAATATTATAAAACCATCATTAAATCCATTTATCTCTCTTAATTTAACATTTGATGATATCGAAAATGAAAAAAATTCATTCTTAGTATTAGCATTTAATCAAATGCAAATACCAAAATCAAGTCTACTCGAAATAAATCGGTAAATATTTATACTACTACCCAGACAAACAAAACTCAAAAAAAAACGGAGAAATACGTGTAGAAATTTTGAAATTTTAACGAAAATAAAATCCGGAAAAGCGCACATTTTTACGATTTTTATCTCCGTTAGCTTTGTCTACTATGGAATTTTAACGCAGTAGAACGCTTTCCAAAACTTTGCGTAGAAACGCGTTAAGAATTCGTGAAAACGCCCTTTTTTCGTATCTGATACGTAAAAACGGTGTATTTACTAATTTTAAACGCGTCTTTACGCGTTTTTTTAGAGATCTTGTCTGTCTGGGTATCGGAATTTTTAAAGAAAGCACGCGGAAGAAAAGCTTATTACTCTTGAATGAAAAGTCACGGTGACCTGCGGTTCTCACCATTCAGTAGAGGACAGTCATCATAAACAAGGCAAATATTACGTCTAGATATGGTTTGCAACCCGCTGTTTTGCTCGTTGCTGTGAATTCTGACAAAACTAACGAGACAGCCTCATTAACTGGAACCCTCGGGTTGAGCTTATATTTTGGTCATAGTTAGATCTCATAGAATAGATATTAATCCTAAAATGATTCATCCCATTGATTTGCATTTGGCAAGATATATCATACTTTGAAATGTTGACCTAGAATTCTGCCCAAATAAAGGTCTCATCTAGACTAACTTTCATACAAAGTTTCAGTCTTTTCAAGTTATGATTTTATCAGTATGATATATATTAACAACAGGGGGAAACCCACTAGAGATTCTATATGTCACCAAAACCAAACCAGTGGGATGAATCCTGATATCTACTCTATGACTACAAGCCTAGTTTATTATTCACTCAGAATTCTAATAGAGTTATATGAGTGAATATAATCAGATATAACTGAATTTCTTTATTTATATCAGTTTGGTAGAAATTCTATTAGGAGAAAATTTTTTTGATATATATTTCATTTTAGTAATCAATTAACTCGTTCATCTGATATCAATCAATCAACAAATATTGAAAGTATTCTTGAAAAATTTAGTGAACAAATATTACTTAATAAATGTAATCAATTAATCAATCAATTAACAGATGATATTTTAAATCGGTTAAAATATTTAACACACATTGAATATATTCGAAATTTTTTTCTTTTTGAAAATGGTTCATTTATGCATCAATTTGCTTTACGTCTATATTCAAAATTATCTCATACAATTCATGAACGTTTAGATGCATTTACAGTACTTGTTTCATTTGATAGTACATTAACAATGTTTGGACTTGAAAAAATGCAATATCCATTAAGTGTCATATATCAATCAACAAATGAACCATCTACAACACAAAAATATATTATACAAAATGTTCAATTAAAATATGATTTACCTAAAGAATTATTTATTATTATTAAACCAGATCATATGGATATTTATCAGAAATGTTTTGCATTCGTTCTACAAGTTAAACAAGCAAAATATGTACTTGATCAATTAGTTTTTAGTGGTATGAAAAGATTTATCTTCGAGAGAAGGAGAGGGGCAGGTGCATAATAAAAGGCGCAAAAATTATAAATCTCGAGAGAGCGAGCAAACACAGTCTTCCAGGTTGTAAAATATTCTTTGACTAGTATGAATGATACGTTCGTTTTTATCATTAGAGTAATAATAGAACTTAAATATTTTATTTATCTAAACTAGAATTTCGTGTTAAAAATCGTGTTCGTAACCGCCGATTATATCGTCATCAATCTTATCAATTACACCATGAAATGTTTCTTCTACGTGCTCGTCTTCTTCATGCTGTTAATGCTGTTAATAATTTTGTTCTTACTACAGTACGTCATAGAAATTTTACTTTTTTTTCTTTTAAATCTTTTTATATTTTGTAGTTTCATACAGCTGGTGAACAATTTCTTGATAAACATTCGAATAAATCAATTGATATTGAATCCATGATAAATTTCCATGAAAAATTTCTTACAGCGCTATCAATCGGTAGTCTTTTACAACCTAAACAACAAGCAATACGTGATCAATTAATGAAATTATTTGAAATTGTTACAATATTTGCACGTCGTTGGCAATTAGGTTTTGATTCAATTAAAATTGAACATATTAATAAATTACAAAGTGAATTTAATCAAACAAAACAATTTATTTCAATTGTTCTTAAACCATTTTTACCACGAATGATCGATTCACCATTACGTGCACTTGCATGTGCTCTTCAAGATGACTTCTATTCTAATGTTTAATTCTTCTTTTGTGTCAGATAAAACTTTTTTTCTAATAAAAAAAATATTCTATACGAATCACACAGATTTCAGTTATCCGAGACATATATGGAATATGCTGATTACTGATACGAATAGCTAAGAAAAATAAATTTTCATTCATCATGGAAATCAGTCTCGAACCAGTGAATGAGAATCATGTTTACGAGTATTTAACTATTATTATTATGTTTATCATGTCTACATTTTACTTCTAATGGAGCTGGAAACTGATGCATAGATATGTAGAACATCTGCCCGCGAGTTATAATTCTACAGGCAAATAGTCTGAAAGCATCGTAACGGATGAGTCAGAATCCTGCGGGCAAGTGTCTTAGACTTGTTTTTAATATAGAAGAATTCATTCAAAATTTTCGCCCAAAATAATCCACCTTTTATTTTAAATAAAACAAGCAGTCGTATATAAATCTTTTTTTCAAGATGCTGCTTGGTGAATTGGTCTAGACCGAATATCATTTGATATTTAATTTTATAAAATAATAATAAGAATAAATAGATTCGTATTTAAATGAATAGTTTATTTGGACAAATCTATTCCCTCAAAAGAAAAAGGAGAATGTATAATTAGAAATACTGTTATTGTTTTTTTCTATCGTTGTATAGCAATGAATTGTGTTGAGCAACGAGAAGAAACAAGTGAGCTTCTTTCGTTTGTTTTATCAACTTAATAATACAAGTGATGCTGTTAGTTGTGTATGCAACGAAAACGAACATACTGTCGATCTCCATTAGTGTGAATAGTCAACACTTCATAAGATTTAATAAAAATAGTAAGAGTAAAAATGAAAGAGAAACCGTTTTTTATATTCTGCATTTCTTTTTTTATTCATTATTAATAGTTTAAAAAGAAAAAAAAATGCACTGTGCTGCTCTTGTCGTCATCAATTTAGCAAATGTTTTTTTCTATGTCTATTAATCCTAATATTAAATATATGATGAAATATTGTAATTAATCTAATATTTATTTTATAGATCATAAAGATGACAAATACTTGCGCACAATCTCGAAGAAGAGATTATTCCAATGTATCAACTATTGATCGTTTAGCATTTAGTCGAGCACAACATCTTCAATCACGAGAAAATCGACCGAAATCAGTATCCGATGATGAAATTGATGCAGTTTCAGATTGGTCAGATTCTGATCGAGAATGTGATTTACTTAGTGAATTTGAATCCGTAACAAATTTTCATCAAAATGATAGAAATAGAAATTATTATAATATACCATTTGATGCAGATATTGAAAATAATAAATTCCCACAATTGAATCCTCCATTTTTATCTCGTACCATAGAAACACCATTGGGAAATATAAATGATAGTACAACAAGTACACAAGTATCATTTGTAATGGAAACTGATAAACCAAAACATCGATTTATTAAAAAACAATCTATTAGTTCAATAAAACATACTCAAGCACCATTATTACCAGCACGACGTATTCAAACTAAACAAACATCACCATATCGTTCAATGAATCGTAAAACTACAAATGCACAAGTAGCATATCCTCTTCGTAATCCTAAAACACCTACACGTTTTTGTCTTCCACGGGAAAATACATATACTAGTAATAATATTAATTCTCGATTGGGAACAGAATCATCATTATCAACATATAGTACATTTCAAGTTCCTGATGATAATTATAATCAACGACAAATAACATCACCAAGTTTTAGTCAATCATCTATATCTCGTACATATGAAATGAAAAAATTATTTGTTGATGATTGCGATTATGGTCGTTTAGTAGATACATCTGGAATACGACCACCTCAACCACGTGGTCGTCAAAAATGGGGTACAATTGTACATCCACCATTTCCATTGGGTTATCAACATATAGCTCCGGAACAAGTCACACAAGTTGTTGAACGTCTTGTAAGTCCTGTACGTTGTCGTGATCGACATATTCCTGTTTCTTCAACATCTAAACGTTATTTATCGGTTGAAGAAACTGATGCTTTGGTAAAGAATAAATATTTTTTTATTTGAATTGTTTTTTTTTTCTTTGATTTTTAGATTAATCGATTAACGAAAGCAAAAACAATCCGATCATCAGAACAATATTCATCAATACAACGACAAACTGGAACAATAAAACCATTAAATAATAATACTAATAACTGGAAAGGGTCTGGTATACCAGCATAAGACACTTTTTTTATTGGACTTCAGGGTTTTATACTATGTGTGATTTTTTTTCACAAAGAGAAGGTTTAAAAATGGCACGTATTTGTTTTAATAATCAATTTTGTTTAATACTATTTTTCATATTATAAAGAAGCGAATTATCAGCTAATACAAATTGAAGTTTTGATGATACTTTTTTTCCTTGATCAGACATTGGACGCTAACATATTATTCACTAGATATAATCAAATCGTCGTTAATAAAATTTCGTAAGCTTTCGATTTCAATAAGGCGTATTTAATTTCTTCGATTTTGTTTGAAAAAAATACTCTCACAGCCTTCAATCTTACGTTTAAAATTACTCACTTAATAAATACTCGTCATATAGGCAAACATAAGATATGGTATTTTATTTCTTAAAAATCATAATTCACTTCCTATATAATCAAAAGATATAAATAAACATTTAATAAAATGCGCAATTGACATCACGTGAATAAAAGTACTATTTGATAATAATTGCATGTTTATTTGTAAATCTAAAGTCTCTTAATTAGAGCTTTACATATATATAATATTGAACGAAAAAAAAGTGGTCTAATTAAGTTCATTGCTTTTCTTTTTATTCCAATTGCATCAGTATATCGAGTTACATAAATTTGAACAAAGAATAAGTTATCAAGTTAAATGCAAATATTTATAGAGGAAGAAAAAGGTATATTATTATTCGATCAATCAGTTATTTCATTTCATCGTTGTTAAAATAAAAAAGGTTTGTAATATTTTATATCTTAGAATGAATTTAAAAATAGGCCGAATGTAACTTATTAACATTTTTTGACAATATACAAGTATTTGTTAGTGATGACGTCAATCTATCATGTAAGGTACCTAGAAAGAAAAAAAAAAGAGATTTCGTGTTTTCCTCTAAATGAGAATAAATATATTTACGAGAAAATAATTTTTTATAATCATTATTATGTTATTTTTCTTTTATATTAAATTACTTTATTGATAATAAGCGCAATGAGTGAAGAACAAAGTGAGTTATTTAAATAAACGATAAAATATGTAGTAATTTTGATAAATAGAAAGAAACAACATGTATACAGTTTTATTAAAAGACAAAGTTTTTAATAGCTTGTAAGTTATATTCTATTGGGAAATTTATTTGTTTTGTTTATTAAACTCGAGTCTAAATGAATAGATTATCTGCAACTCGAAAATTATTCTTATAAGATTTTATCAATTTTAAATATTTATATTTAGTGAGCGACGGAATGGAAACTTATTCAACAGATGCATTTGATAATAAAGGTTTGTAACAAAAGAAGAAACGAAACTTTATCTGAATAAAATAGTTATATTATTGTAATAGAAAATACTGTCATTCAGTCACTTGATGATAACCCAGATCGAAATTTACCATTAAATGAATATAGATCACCATCAGTAATGTCAAGACAAGAAAAACAACCAGTATCAATGTATACACTTGGAAATGGGTATCAACAAATTCCATCGAAAACTTTACCACAAAAATCTGAACCTAAAGTTTATTATATTGGTTCAAAACAAACTGAAAACACACCATCTCCTATCAAACAAGGTAAAATATTAGTTTTTTTTTAAATTCCAAAAGATATTTTACATTGAGAAACATTACTTCTTATTTAAACAGGAAAGCAATCAGATGTTCCAATCGTTTTTCTGGAACCTCAGATTATTTCTCAACCAATATTATACAGTATTATTGGGGAAAAATCTACTCCAATAATTGATAAACCAATTCCTGTAAGTGAAGAACAACCTTCACCTATAATCTATTCAATAAATGATCGTCCTCGCACTGTCGATCTAAATACCAATAGTGTAGAAGATCCAGTTCTTTATAAAGATAAATCTCCTACACTTTATTCTTGGGTGGGTAATTCATATGTTCAAGATGAAGTTGTTCCAGAACCACCTAAAACACTCGTACCACCATCTCCAAGTGTTTATACACTTATTGGAAGTCCAGCACGTACATCACGTGGTACTCAATTAGGTCGAAGTAGTCCTATTGAACCAGTACCAATTCTATATACAATTGTTGATGATACATCAACTTCAACTTCAACATATAAAACAAAAGAAAAGCACTCACATCCACCACCACCACCACCATCAAATGAACCCGTCGTATATACAGTAGAGAAGGAATCTAATGTATATAAAACTCCAATACTTTATGCATTGGTTGGTAAACAAATTCCACCACCATTAGAAGATAATCGATTAAAGTATTTAATATCATTTTATATTTATAAATTATTGATCTTTTTTTTTCTTTGAATGATCTAGACTACCTGCAAGAAAACCGACACCATCACCACCAATTACAGTTTCTACTAATAAACGTATAAGTCGTAGTCCCGAACGAAGGTCAAATATAATAACGGAGGAAATTATAGCATATCCAGTAACAAAAACTGTATATCTACAACAACCAAAAGGTTATTATTTCTTTTTTATATACAAATCAATAAATAAAAATTTTAGAGTCAACAAATCCAAAATCAGAATTAATAGTTACTCCTTACAATGAAGAAGAACGTCGTATGCGTCCTCAAATAATTCATCAAACACCTACTTATACAAATCAAGATCAATCATATCGTAAACTGAATACTATACCAAAATATCCATCAGTTCAATTACCTGATTATCAATCACCATATGCAAATCGAACACATAAACCATATCGTGAACAAAACTACAATAATAATAATAATACATTACCTGCTATTTCACATAATCATGCCCAAAAAAAAGAAAGACCACCACTTTATGAACCACGTTATCGTGTTGAACGACATCATCCATATGTTCCATTAAAACCAATCACTTTAGTATGTATACATTTATTTTAATATTATTTTTCATATATATATATTTCAAATTTTTAGGCAAGATACCCAGTTAATACAAGATCACGTGCAAATCTATGGGATAATGCTTATCAAACGGATGATGATGAAGAATATGAGCAAAAACTTAATAAGAAAAATCGTGGTTATAAAACCAATCGACCTCGTTTACCATGGATACCAGTTTGGTAATTGAACATAAAAGAAAACATTTTATTTTATTTCGGTTTTATTTTATTTTATATAAATCGAAAGAAAAAAAAAAACACAATTATTTTTCACTTTATCAAAAAAGCGTAAAAACAATGCTAATAATTAGAGTGTATGACTTGTGCAAAACATTTTGAATTCTATAAAAGAAAAATAAATAAATTCAGAATTATTCAAATAAAAAATAAATATATATACCTTCAAAACTAATTGTTCCACTATTGTCAACATCAAGTCGTTTAAGTAAACCTTTAATTTCTTGTTCGGCAACTTCAGGTTTGACACCAAGCATTTCTTGCATTGGTAGATAATATTTTTTTAATTCTTCAACAGTTATACTACCATCATTATCTTTATCAACACGACGGAATTCTTTTCGAAGTTGTTCTTCAGTAAATGCAGCCATTTGATATTTATTTACTTATTGGTTTAATGAAGGTAAATGTAAAATAATGACAGTAGGTTTTATAGTTGATTGGGTTTGTTATACTTGACTGATTTTATTTCTTTTAACAAGAACGTTAGAAAATATGAAAAAGAATGATGTAAATATGAATAACAAAATAAAAAGCAAGCGTATCATCATCATAATAAGCCATGAAAAAGGTAAAATCCATAAAAATATAGGCACGTACAACGTTACATGATCTAGGTAAAAATAATGAATCAAACAAAAAAAACATAAGGCGTAGGCATTTCATCAAAATATTATTCAGAGATAAATCAGCGTCGTAAAACAAAATAATAATATTATTATTCATTTTCTAGACTTATTTTAATTTATATATCATGATTATTCAGTATTTCGGATTGATGAATCAATAATTTTGTATTACATAACAGATGAATATCGGACTATAGATTCTTATGAAAATTGTAATATTTTAGAATTAACTATAGTAAAATATTAAGAAAACAATAGTTGTATGGTTTTTTGAACAGAGCGATTTACAATATATACATTTAATTCTTCACATGTATATGTCAAGCATTGATTAATCGTTTGAGAACTGACAATATTTTTATGAAAAAAAACAAAATTTGTTGTTTATATTAAATTGTTAGACCTGTAAGACAATGCAGGTTATAGGGTATGTATAACCCTACAGACTATAATGGCTATGTGTGAACAAAAGTTTTTTTACGATGAAAAAATTGATAGTACAACATATGTACCATACGTCCTCAAATGATTAATGGATTTTTTTGTGTAACAGCTTTCTGATTCATGAATACTATTAAATGCAAACATTAATTTTTGTGACAATCATATCAAGTATATTCGAATAATCGATAAATAAGTACAATATATTTAAATTTATTCAATTTAATAAAACCAAAACAAAATACTAATGAAATTTAGTATTATTTCCAAATTTTAATATGTCGTTTAGCTATTTCATAGCTTATATTATTAATAATACCTTCCCATTCAAGTGTATCAGTTGATTCATTACTACCAACAAGATAAATATGTAATGTAACAAGTTTAGTCATATATTTAATAAATTTCGAAGCAACTTGTCTTAAATCATGAATTGTATTTAAATTAATTCGTAAATGTTTTAAATCTGAAAATATTTCAAGAAAACGATCACTTTGAATAATAGGTAAAGGTTCACGACGTAATACAAATTTATCAAGTTTATCATGTAATTCACAGCAAACATCATTATTTTGAAAACAATCTGTTATAGTCTAGAAAAACGAAAATATCATATTAATGGAATATTTAATAAAAGAAAATTTACCATAAGAATAGCATAATCAGTTTTGAAATATCGTAAACATGGTGTTAATTTCAATAAAGCAAGAAATGTATCTGTAGGTAATGGTATAAATAATTCGAAATGAACTAATTTATGAAGATTAAGCATTGTAAAGAGTTGTGTAAATAATGTTGAATAATTAACAGTAACAATAGCATTCTCATATATCTGAAGAGCACATACATTTGGATATGTACGTTGAGCATAATTCTAAATGATTTTAATTTTAATAAATTCTTTACAATTTTATAATTACCTCCATTGGCATATTCGTTTTTAAATACAAATCAGTAACAGAATTAAATGTATTGTATGGTGCTTCTATTATTGGTAAACAATGAATTGTACTTATAAATGAACAGCGACGGTATGGAACAGTAAATAAATGATATTTCTTATTATCTTGTGAATAATCAATACTTATAGACCATTGATTCCAGAATGGAGTTTGAAATGACGATACAAGTTCATCATCAAATATATCTGCCACAGCTTTAATATCAAATACAAGAAAACGTAAATGTTTTAATAATGTTAAAATTTCAATCCATTGTTCGGAATTAATAAAATCGATACCAATAGCAATAAGTGTAAATCGATAAAGTTGAGGTAAAAATGAAAGTAGATATGTAATATATTCAAATCGTACTGTATATAAACAATTAAGTTTAAGTGTACGAAGAGTTTGAAATGGTATATTAAATGGTGGTAAAAAACCTTGAAAATTAACAGCAAGTCGATGAACTGTAAGATGATCAAGTGACGGAAAAAAATGAAAGAGTGTATGAAGATCATTAATATAAAATCCATCGAGAATAAGTCGTGTAAGAGAAGAATTTGGTCGAAGTTTATTGACAAATAAAACATCATCATAGGAAAGAATACATCTAAATGTAGATATAAATTAACAAATCTTTTATTTTTCAAAGATTATTTTTCGTACGTTTCTAAATGAGAATCATCGAAAAGAAAAGCTGGATGAATTTGTTGTTCAAACATTTTATTACATTTAATATGTATCGATGTTAAATGTTGTATTTTTATTATTTGTTTATAATCATTAATATTCGGTTCAATAAATGACATTGTATGAAGATTAGGAAATGTTATTTCAATTGGAGAAAATTTCATTAAAAATAATTTTATTCCACCACATGTTTCAACATTTGATAAATAAATTGCATGAATAGACGATGAATAAGGAATTAAAATATTTGAACAATATTTATTAAAATCATTAAAAGATAGATTTGTAGATAAATTAATAGACATTTTTTGTTGAGTGATGAGAATTTCGAAGCGATTATTAAGCATATGAAATGTATGAATAAGTTCAAATGGACGGATATAATCGAAAATATCCAATAGAATTTCATTAGCGAGATCTTCAAGTTTTGATATGGACATTATTAAGAAATCTGAAGAAAAATAAAACTTTTTCTTTTGTCACCTAAGATATATATGAAGTATGGCAAGTCATTCTCTAATTAAAACTGATCTGCTCAATATGTACTGATGAAAGAATGAATTTGATGCTCAAGTATTCAAAAGTGCGGTTTAAAACTATCCAAATGTTCTTTAAAAAAAAGCGCAATCAATTCTTTCAATAATATTTATAATAGACAAGATAATATAATCAAAAACTACATGTTTTTTTTTTCTTTATTAATTAAACAACATATCACAAAGTAATATTCTTTTCTTTTAATTGACAATGTTCTTTTAAATATTGTATAATACGTTCACAATCAATACCATGACGTTGTATATGAAAATAACCTTTTTCTGATAAATCAACAATAGTAGATCCACGTCGATCATTTGATGCTAATAGACCTCCATCAATAACTAAATCAATTTGTGACCATAACTGTTTAAATTCATCAATACAAACTGAACTTGGTTCATTGGATATATTGGCACTTGTTAATGCAATTGGTTCATGTAAACGTTGAGCTAATTCAATCATAAATTGACAATTTGGAATACGAATAGCAATATTATTTATGCCTGGATTGAAATATGAAGGTAATAATGATTGACGTTCAAACATAAGTGTTACTGGACCAGGAAGAAGATCACCAGTAGATAATTGTTCTTTTGTTAATGTTGGTTTTGAGCAAGTAAATAAATCTTCAACATAACCGACAGATATTGCTAATGGTTTAGTAAATAATCGACCTTTTATTTCATAAATTTTTTGAACAGCTTTTTTACTATTTACTAATGCAGCAAGACCATAAATTGTATCGGTTGGTACAGCTATAACTCCATCGTTTTTCAAAATTGAAATACAACGATCGATTAAATCATTATCATTGATCGAAACAACATTGGTTGACATGATTTTGTTGTAATGATGCGAAACGTGGCAGCTGAAGAATCGAATGAATGTAATTGAGGAAATAATTTGAATCATAAGAACATTCTACGATGTAAGATGAAAATTCCATCTGATAAGAAAATTTTTTATCTCTACCGAAAAATTTTGTTTGTTGCTAACATACACCGTGAAAGAAGGATATTACTTTTCTTTCTTTCTTTTTTTTTTATATTTTCACTTGTCCAATACGTTGTACAAAGATATAGTTAATATAGAGGTCGCTCTGCATATAAGAATAATTATAATTTTCAATCTTGTAACTGTAAAATAGTGTCTCAAACAAATGTTACACCGTGATATTTATTGCTCTAATAGAAATACAGATCTTTTACTAAGATCGATATTGTTCTCAACCATTGAAATCTTTCAATATACATTTTAAACGTACTCCTATAGAATATCGTTTTAGGACTAATTATTAAGAAAGTTGTACAAGATAGATCGATTTAAAATGATTTCAATAACATCTAGTTGTTGAGCTTTCAGTCCTTGCATATATCTATAGATATATTTCATAAAATCTACTTATGTTAAGAGCTCAAACACGATTTCTCTCACGCAGAACGCATCAAGCCATTTTTAAGAAGAGATAGATTCCTTACATAAAAACGATAAGAGTTTAGCATTTTTTTCCTTTAACACGCTTTCTTTTTTAAGATATAAAATTTAAATTGACGATAACTCCAATCGAGCAGTTGATATGTGAGTTCGAACAAAAAATTTAATCAATACCTATCTTTTAGTATTTTATAGGTTAAAAGTTGTATGGAATTCAATAGTAATGGTTCTGAGGGTAGGTATGAGCGTTATTATCTGATTTTATTCAAACTCACACCCTTAAAATTCATTTCAATTCAATTTTTATGATCAACTTCATCAAATAAAAATATTCAAATATAATTTTATCAAAAATAAAACCTTCTTTTCGAATAATTTTTATTTAATTTAATTCAGATTACAAAATATTTTCTTTTCTTATCTTTTGAAAAATTCGACAAAAGTCAACAAAAGATGAAGAATTTAAAATTTATTTATTGGATTTTTTAATCAAAATTATCAAATTAAATTCAGTTTTGAGGAAAAACAACAAAATAGATTTTATTTCGTTGTTTTCGTACCAAAAAGTTTCTTCTCTTTTTCTCAAAGTCAAAATTTCGTTTACAAAATTATTTCAAATTTTTCGATCCGATGATTCCAAGTATCAGCAACATAAAGATTTCCTTCATCATCAAAAGATAAACCACAGGGGTGTTCTAGTTGATTTGATTGATTTCCTTCACCATTTCCACCGACAATGATTTCACCTTCATCTTTTCCTTCACTCCAACGCATTACTCGATCATTTCCCCAATCTGCTACATAGATTTGTCTAAAATGATCAACAATGACTCCTTGAGGATAAAACAATTGATTAAGGTCTTTTCCTTGACCGTTTCCTCCGGCCACAACTCTTCCTTCTTTTGCACCTTTACTCCATTTCATTACACGATGATTTTCTCTATCTGATACATAAACAGATTGATCCTCATCAATAAAGATAAAAGTTGGACAATCAAGTTGATTTAGTTGATTTCCTTTTTCATTTCCACCTGCCACTACAATTCCTCTGCTGTTTTCTTCCATTTTCCATCGTCGCACTTCATTCTTCACTCGATCAGAAACATAAAGAAATCCATTTTTATCCATTGCCAGGCTATGGCAGTCAATATTGTGAATGAGAATATGTTGATTTTGATTCCACCATTGAATCACTCGTCGGTTCGCACAATCAGCAATAATGATCGAATAATTTTGTTGATCAACAATCATATCTGCTGGAGAATTCAATTGATTCATTCGATTCCCTTTGCCATTTCCACCTGCAATGATCTGTCCTTCCTTTGCATTACATTTCCATTTAAAAATACGATCATTTTCAAAATCAGCAATGAAAATATTTTTCTTCGTATCAATAAAGATTCCTATAGGGTTATTGAGTTGGTTTAATTCCTGTCCACGTCCATTTCCACCAGCCACAGTAATGGCATTTTGTTTCCATTTCTTGAATTTTGGTTCTAGAAAATGATGAAAACAAAAGATTTTCATCAAAAGGAAAAGAAGCGAAACTGTTTTTCGTTGAACAAAATGGAAAGAAAGAGGGTGGGCAGGCGCGACTACTCAGCTTCATTCCACACTCACCATCAGACGTATTTTTTTAAGAAACTATACTTTAAAAACTTACTTTTTGATATAATAATTGAAATCTCATTAATAAATGATTGTGAATCTTGTTGAATAGAAATATTTGATGAATTATTTAATTCTTCTTTAATTTCTATTAATTGATTTTTCAAATAATTTAAATTAATTTCATTAAATTCATCTTCACCATGAATTTGTTTTACTAGTTCAGATAAGTCTTTAAATCTCTTTTCAATATCATCAATAAATGCTTGTGAAAATTGAATGAGATTTTCTCTACGATTCTGTGCTTTTTGTTGAATTTTTTCAATTGAATCTCGTTCCCATTGATTAATTTGTTTTAACAAAGAATGATTTTGTGGATTTTGTTTTTGTTCATCAATTCTTTGTTTAAATTGATCATAATCATTAATAATATGATGTAATTCTTCATTTAATATTTGTTGATGTTCCGTTAAATGTAATAAACAAAATCTTTTTGAACATCCTTCACAAGGAAATGTTATTTTTTCTTTATTACATGTAAAACATTGTGTTTTGTTATTTGCCATTGCCATGTCTTTGAATATAAAGTTACAGAAGAAATGAATATCTATATTTATCTACCTTTTTATAGATAAACTTAATGACTCAGTGACAATACTAATATTATTCGGTAGTAGAAGAGACCAAAAAAGAATTTTGATCGTCACCACAATTATTAACTATGGTGAAATCCCACTAAGAAAACTGATGAGACATATAAGATGGTCGAACTAGAATTGAAAATTGATTTGGTTTTAATTTGAAATAAAAATACAAACAATTTTTTCGTTATTTTTTTTAACGAAAGTATGTTAATTTGGTGTAGATAAAGATTAAACATAGGCCACTCCTTCACCTTTATCCACCATATGCATGATGTATCAATATTTCATTCAGTCTTACAGTGATCATCATTCTTATTCATAAAATAGTTATTGTGTGATATTCTTTTTTACTCATTTAAAAAAACTAATTCCCCAAAATACTTTGAATCTTTGTTTTATCGATTAGATTCTTCTAGGTATTTTGTAAAAGAACAGCATTTTATTTGAAAAGAGATTCCTGAGTGCGTTTGACCTATAAAATAATAAAAGATCAATATTTATTGAATTTTTTGTTCGAACTCACAAATCAGTTGCCCGATTGGAGTTAAAATGTTTAACTCTTATTATTTTTATGTGAAGAATTGCGTTTTTCATGTTTATGACATGAAAGAGACTATATATTCCGATTCAGCGCGTCGAGCTGTATCAAAACATGTAAAGAAAAAGGTACTCGATTTTTGAATTACCTAAATTTTAGTTTTATTTAAGAAACCTATAAATCATAATTATTTAACATACAAAATTTCAACTCGTTATAATTATATAAATATTCATATTTATTAAATCATCCGATCATGTCTGTCTTATTAGCGTTATGCACAATCATTGACATTTCAATCACAAGAGAAACCATCTTACGATTTGATATAAAAATTCATTTCTATATTTTCTTTAAAGGTAGAATTGGTCTTCCAGCATATAAATTCTCTTTAAACATTTTAACAATTAAATGCCAATCATAAATATAATCAAATTTTTGTTTAAGACGATTAATAACTGCAATAAGTAAATTTCTTAAATATCCATAATCTGGTCTTTGTGTATATGATAATGTTCTTGAATATTTATAAAATAATTCAAATTCATATGGTAAATCTTGACAAAGTTCTTTTACTGTTAAACTTTCTTTTATTTCAATTAATTTTTCATTACGTTTTTTTCTATTAGAAATTTTTATTGACATCCATGGTAAAAAACCTTTAGCTAAATAAATAATTATATAAGATAAACATTGTATATCATCACGTCTTGATTGTTCTATTCCATGATGAGTATACAATGAACAATAACGTGCTGTACCAGTTAAAGTTTTACCAACTCGATATAAACTATGTTCATATGTTAATGGATGACGATAATTTTTACAAAGACCAAAATCAATTAAATGTACAATATGTGATTTTAATCCAAGACCAAATAGAAAATCTATTTAAATATAATATACATAAGATTCTCATTAGAAACTTACTATCAGGTTTTAAATCTCGATGAATAAGTGAATGATTATGTAATGCTTCTATACTTCGTAAAATTTGTTCTCCAATCATGCAAATTGTTTTTGGAGTAAATTTTCTTCCAGAAAAATTCAATAAATCTTCAACAGATGGTCCTAATAAATCCATTGCAAGTACAGTATATTCATTATGGGTACCAAAATAGAACATTCTTGGTATATATATACATTTAGACATAATTTCAAAAACATATTTTTCTATTGGTAATTGAGGACGTTGAGTATCTGTACGTTCAAATTTAATGGCAACTAATAAATCATTTTGATTATTATCTTTAGCTAAATAAACCTGATAGGAAAATTATTTTAATAAGAAATATTTTTATTAAAAAAAAAACAACATACTTCACCAAATCCACCACTACCTATACATTTAATTGTTGTAAAACGATTTTCTATTATATAAATTTTATCTTTTGGAATATTTTCAGTTTTTTTTAATACTATTTTATCATTATTTAATGGTTGAAATGAACTGACTATGGTTCGTATTCTTTTTTTTAGTTTCGATTTTCGAAGTAAATCATTGTTATCATCTAATGGCAATTCAAGTTTTGATGTATCAGACATAAATTAGAAAATAATATTTTGCGCTAGTTTTTTTTCTTCTTATTTTTAATAATTAAGTCATTTACTGATTACGTGAACAAAGAAAAATGTATAAAAACAGTCGCGAACGCTACGATGATGATATTAGATCGTCAATCATCACTTTTTCTGTTTATAATGTTATTAGATAACAATCATATATATATATGTTCTTTTTCTATTCATATAGTAATGCGTAAAGCGTCATTGCTGATGTTGTAGATATGTTCTTAATCTACTTTTTTTCTTTGTTCAGATCCATATTTCTATCAATCAATAGAGAAATGTCCTTCTGTATATGAAAAAGATTAGATCTTATTAAGAATAGAGACGACCCATTACATGTATACACAGTAATCGAAGACTTAGATTTTTTTTTTCTTCTTCTTCTTCTTTTGACTTCTAATCGCATAATTGTGTTGAGTAAAAAAGTTGGTATTTCGACTTTGATATATTAGAAAAATTATAGACTTAGGCGATCGAGTGTTTACTGTCAAAGAACCAAACATGAACAGTTCTATAATATAGACGGTAAAGTCATTAGAAAAATGAAAAAAAAAGAAGAAAGAACAAGAGCTACTATTCTTATTTTTATGACTTCTCTTTCTTTTTTCTTTTTTTTTCTTAGTCATTGTTTTAAAAGCAATAAAATAAAAGTAACAGTCTTCTTCTCATCGTGACACTTATCGTGTTGCTCGGTCACTTGTTAACAAGTATTGAGAATTGTATTATGAAATCATATATTCATTTCAATATAGAGTTCAGAAAAAGAAGAAAGAAAGGTGAATAAATCATAATCTGTATGATATAACAATAAAGAATTTCTTTCTCTTCTCTTCTGTCTAATACCATTCAATATCTTCTTTTTCTTTTATAATAGAGAAACGTATTTCAATCATCATTCTATATGAGATGATGAACAATTAGTATCTTTTCTTTTTTTTTTGAATAGTTTATATTAATAAAATGAATGTAAGGTACGATATATTAGTTAGAACTTATGTCCTTTCTATGTTTTACTTTTATTGAATGACAAATTTATAATTTAGGTATGGATATGAATAAATATTTTATTTGTCAAAATGGTGAAAATATTTCGTGGACATCTGTCTGTGATGGTTTCAATCAATGTATTGATGGTTCTGATGAACGAAATTGTAAATTAGATTTTTTCTAAGTCTTCATTTTAATTAATATTCTTTATATTAAGGTTATTGTCAAGGTGATACTTATGCTTGTTTACAAGGTAATAATGTTAGCTGTAAAGTTGCATGTGCAACTTATGGTCGTGTGACTTGTTTAACCTATCAAAATAGTCGAGCTTGTGAACAATATATACAAAAAACTAGTTTGTATAAAAAAATCAAGATATTTTAGTAAATAAATTCATGTCATTTTTAGTTAATACAATGCATTTCGATATTAGTTCTACTCAGGAATCACCTGTATTAACTTATGATTTTGATACATTTCGATATTCAGTTTATTTAGCTGTTGGTATTTTACTTTTTATTATAATTCTTTCATTATTAATCTATCTAATTCATAAATATTCTTCACAATTATTATTTTCTTGTACTAACAAATCATTCAATCGAATATCAACAACTAGATTATCATCTAGATTACAACAACAACCTTCTTCATTAAATTTACCTCGTTCACATTATACACCAGCACCTAATATTAACGATTTATCACCATCTTATCATTATACTCATCCAATTTCGCTATCGATAAATGGTTCGTATGAACCTCGAATATATCCTGATCAATCTTTATATTCTTCTATAAATTATTCTGATTCAATTTATTATGAAACAATAAAAACTCCATCGAAATCAAATTCAATGTCAATGTTACATCCAATGCCTTTACCTGAACCACAAGGATTTGTTAATATTCGAACATATTGCGTGTAAAAATAGACAAAAAAACGAAATACAAGAAAATCATTTTTATTTGATTTTGTTAATTATTAAAATGAATGATGCGAAGGAAAGCATCTTCCTTCTATTAATTAAAATTTTTATAGAATAGATAATATAAAATTTCTAGTCTTTTCCATAACGATGTTGAATTTTAATAAGAAATATAGTTGCATCACAATTGAATCATATCTAATATTTACCATTCGACTATGAATAAGGATAATTTTGCATATTATTCCAACTATAATTCGTAGCAGGTGAATTTAATTGATTATGTTCAATTGCATGTGATGCTGCATTCCAAACATGTGAGACTGCACCACGTGGATCTTAATATAAATTGATTTATTATTGTGAAAAAAAAAGATCTATATGTTCTAACCTAACGGATACGGTGAGCTCGCACGAGAAGCTGCAGACCATACGTGTGATAGTGCATTATGTGGATCTTAATATAAATTGATGTATTATTGTGAAAACTACGGTTTATATATGTTCTAACCTATTGGAGGATGTGATGAACTAGCATGCGCAGCTGCGTTCCATACGTGTGAAACTGCACCACGTGGATCTTAATACAAATTGATCTATTATTTGAAAAAAAATTGTCTATATGTTCTAACCTAATGAATATGGTGAACTAGCACGAGAAGCTGCAGACCATACATGTGATAGTGCATTATGCGGATCTGAACATAAATTGTTGTATTATTTGAAGAAAAAAAACTATTTCTATATATTCTAACCTATTGGCGGATGTGGTGAACTAACACGCGCAGCTGCATTCCATACGTGCGACACTGCACCACGCGGATCTTAATATAAACTACTTTATTATTCTAAAAAAACAATTTCTATATGTTCTAACCTAATGAATTTGGTGAACTGGCACGAGAAGCCGCATTCCATACGTGTGATACTGAACCACGTGGATCTTTATACAAATTAATTTATTATTTAAAAACAAAAAAAACTATTTTTATGTATTCTAACCTAATGGATATGGTGAACTAGCACGAGACACAGCATTCCACACATGTGATACTGCACCATGTGGATCTTAAAACAAGTTAATTTATTATTTACAAAAAAAACAGATTTATATACTCTAACCTATTGGTGGATGTGGTGAGCTAGCACGAGCAGCTGCATCCCACACGTGTGCAACTGAACTATGTGAATCTGAAAAGAATGAAATATTAGTATATAAATAATTATAATTTATTTAGTATAGTTAATACTACTTCTACAAATCTATATTATTTTATTTCCAAACATACATCAATGCACATAAATAAATTTTAGTAAAAATATTTAGTAAACTAAATAGATAAGCATGCCAATAGTATAAATAATAATGTCAACAACTACTTGTTACAATTCTGATAACATTCCTTTGTGGGCAAATAGTACCTGGTGAATGATACATAGAATATGGGTCAACACCAAGTTGACGAAGAATACCATCAACTGGAACATGTTCTTAATAGAGAAAAAAAAGTATGTATATGCTTTTTTGTCATTCAAATAATTTATTTTGTTTTTACCAGGTACAGTAAAAACTTGTGAATGTCCAGGAGTATAGCCAATAGATGGTATAGCTGATAGACCGGAGCCATATGCACCTAATCCAATGGCTGGATTTGATGTACATGCATAAGATGTTGGTATTCCATAGGATGGTGCAGAAATCAAATTTGGATATCCTTGTTGTACAGTAATTACACGTGGTTGCTGCTGTCCAATGATACTACCACAACTTGAGTCTATTCCTGAATATGGACTATATGAAATAAGTGATGAAGGTGGTGCCTAAATAAATATAATAGGCAAATATCAATGGTATTTAAAGAAAAAGATGATTACTGCTGAATAGATTTGTTGATTGACACCTAGTGGTGATATTAATTGATTGAGATCCATATGAGATGATACTTGTTGATAAGGAAATTGTGGACCTGGTGCTTGAACAATTTGTCGTTGAATATGTATACGTGGTTGACCATGTTGAATAACAATCGGTCCTTGTGGTTGATGAACAATAGGAGCTGGTAAACGTTCATAGAAGATACGACGCTGACGTGGTGGAACAGGAAGCCATTTTTCTAGAATAACATCTTGAGGTTTGCGTGGTAATTGAGGAAATTGTTCGATAATCACTTGACGTGGTGGTTTGGGTGGAGGTGGAATTATTTTATTGATAATAGTAGTACCTTCAGGTGGTGGAATTGGTGGAGGACGCTAGACGAAATAATTGACATAAATAGATTGAATAAAAGAAAAAAGTTATAGGCGAACTTCACGAATAACAACTGGTGGTGGAGTTGGAGGAGGTGGTGGAGCACGTTTAATAACCTATATTGAATAAAAATTTATTTTTTTTTTACTAATTGAGATATCTATTTAATCACAAGAGGTGGATCAGGAGGTTGTTGAGGTAACTGTTTTTCTCGAACAATAATTGCACCAGCAACAGGAGGAGTTGGAGGTTGTAGATATTTCACAAAAACCTATAATAAATTATTAATTATTCTTATCAAGAACAAAATTTTATAATATGACTAACTCGTTGTCTATAAACGACATCATCATGTGAAGGACGTTGTATAATACGAGTATTTGGATCACGTTTCATATACTATGTATTTCAAAAAAACAAAAAGTTAAAAAAAATAGAAGCTTTTATATGATTTTGTTGTACTTCAATATCAGCATCTGTTTGATATTGATGCGCATAGGGTGCATGAAATTGTGTTGGAGTTGAAGCATAATTCGGTTGACCACCATATGAGTGATTATAACTAGCAGCTTGCGTAAAAGATGGCGAATGATTATATGAATCGACACTAGTCTGACCACCACGTATTATTGGCAGTGATGGTGTTGATGAAACAAATTGTCGAGAATTTAGATGTTGATCATTTGACAGGTTATTAAAATTCACAACTTGAGAATGAGATGATGATCGATTGAATGAATTATGATAAGGATCAACGCTAGCACGACCTGCAGGAATTATTGGTAATGATGGAGATGATGAACTATTAGCATATTGATTTTGATCATTTAATAAGTGTGAATGACCAGCTTGGCGTAGCCAACCGATCATTGACGGATCATTAGTTACATCTTGTAAAGGCATTTTCCTATAGTATTATCTTCTTGTATGATACATCTAGAATAGGATATTCGTTAAAATAAATAATCAATATTAAAAAAGACATCTTTATTCTATGTATTCATATACAGTACAGTAATATTTGATACCGATTATTTAAAAAAAAAAGAATGTAATGATGTATATCTGCTTCATCTGTACATACACCTAGACGTCCTTTCATGGTAATTGCTTCTATCTCATATATGAATATATTTTATCATAAAACAGTATCATATTGTATACAACAAATTACCTTGAAGGTAATATGTTAGATATAGTATTTAACTATTTGTTTCATAAATAATGCAATATCGCTTGTCTTATGTTATTATAAATAATTTATATTAATACAATCGAAATGAAGGTCATTTACTGATGTATTGAAATATTATTTTCAATGTGTTCCACTCCAATACTATTTATGTACAACGAACAGTAATACTCATTAGTAGACATCCTTCATATTTGTCCTTTGAATCATTTATTTTTTCAACCTTGAATTTTGCTTGTTGTTTTTTTTCTCTCTTTTAACAAATTGATTATTTATTGTTTTAAAAAATTATTTTTTCTCGTAATGCTATAAATTGTAACAATTACTCACTTATAAAACGGAAATTAAACAATAATATATACATAATGTTTTTATAGATGGACACTGATGGTACACTAGTAATTATCTTTATACTTGTATCACATTATATAAAAGAAAAACAGATTGGTTAAACAATTAAGAACTATAACTTATGAGTCATTTTAACAAAAAAATTTATTGTCCTTAATATACGTATATAGATTTGTACTTTTTGATTCTAAAAGGTTATTTTTTTTAAAATGAATATAAGAAAAATATCGCAATTTTTTTTCAATGCCCACACTATATCGTTTTCTTTCAGACATAATGTCCATTAACAACACTTGTGCACTTACTCATGAGAATGTACCATTTTGATTTCTATTATCATTCATATAAATCTTTCTTATAAAGAAAGACGTTACCATTGTGATTGATGTTTTGTTCGATGTTCTTTTATTTCACATAAGATGCAGTTATTTTATGTATGTCTAATTCTTCTCAATTTCCTAAGATTATGCCACGGTAATTTTATTAATAATAAATTCTATAAATTTTTTCTCATCATAACATTAATTTCTATTAGGACAATGTTCGATGACGCCTCTAAATGCTTTTTTACAAAATTCATCAGTTTTGACGACAATGACGGTTGCTGGTAATTATTATTTACCAGTTAATGGAGCAGATAGTAACACTGTACTATCTGGAGCATATATGCCAATGACATGTATTAGTGGATATACATATGCAAGTGGTCAACTAAATATAACATGTACTGGTAACACATGGTCTACATTCCCTAGGTGTATATCAAGTACTAATGGCGGCTCTGTTCAATCTCCTGTTCCATCTGCCACTAGTGGTTTACCATGTATAGTAGATCAAGCAACATCTTTTAATATTACGAATGGATATTATTCTAGCTCATCGCTATCATATACTGCGAACAACACTAGTGCTACTGGTAATCAATTAAATTTGTATATTTTTTTGTATTTTTTAGTTCATATAAATTAGGATATATTCAGTTTTCATGCGTACCTGGTTATGTAATTGATCAAACAATCGGTACAACACATACGTGTAATAATGGTGTTTGGTCAACTAAACCTCGATGTATATGTAAGTAGTTTCGTATATCAAATATATATTGACTTTTCTGCTAAGACGTTTCATAATTGTAAACTTCAATAAGTACAAGCATTTCCTTTATTCTATTCATCACAAAAAGTCTAAAAAAAAGACATATACTTCATGAAAGTAAAATATATTTCTTTTCTGCATATTATAATGTTGATTTTCTTTTATAAATAATAACTATATGATCGTGCAGTTTAGTCTATTTTTCGATATATATGTATATTCTCAACTACATGAGATAAAATAAATATATACGAATTTTGAACTAGCATATATAATGATAATCCGTAAAAATGAGAAGAACCTGGCCATTAGAATAGAGCTTTTGAACTATCGATATCATTCTTTTATCGTTCTAAAAAAAATATTTTTATTTACATGAAGAGAAAAAATGTCTCTTGAAAGGAGCATTCGCTGCCAAAGTGGCTAAGCTTTTCACTATTCTCAATCTAAGTGAAAAAATGCTTTTTCTTAAAATGGTTTTCATTTCTTTATTTATTATTACGCAAAAAAATGAAATAAAATGATATATCACGTTTTTCCATCAGATGTAACACTTGTCCATATTCTTTGTTCGAGTTCATCTTTTACGAGTTCATTTCACCACATGCATTCACCAGCCAGTAACAAGTTTTAAATTACATAAAACTCTTTTAAGTCTCCCACGATATACGTCTATTATTTTTCCACTTACACATGTTTCATATATTTTAATATCCATCTTTTTTTCTAAAGCAACTGGTCGCTGTTCCTATCCTACACTTCAAAACTATATTACAACTGCAATTGGTTTACAAACAACAAATATAACTCATCTAGTGGCGGCTTCACAAAGTGATACAGTAGTATTCAACGGCTCTTACATTGTACTAGCTTGTGCAACAGGCTACACGAATATTGGTGGTAGTTTAAATATTACCTGTTCCGACAGTGGTTCATGGTCGCCGTTTCCCAATTGTGTGCTAAATGGTGGAAGTGCTTCTTTGACTACTACAACTATTTCCACAAACAATGCTGCTGTCACGACTACGACCACACCTAGTAGTGGTGGAGCAGCTTGTCCATACGATCCTACAACACTGTTTGCTCTTACTAATGGATACTTTACAAGTTCTTCACTTTCAAATCCAACTCCCACTACTGCCAATGGTAATCACACTCACAGCGCAGTCATACAATTCAAACTTTATCTTTTGTAGGATGGATACAATTTGCGTGCAATCCTGGTTATGCTCTTGATCCAATAGTTGGTGCATCATACACTTGTAATAATGGTGTTTGGTCAACGAAACCAAGATGTCTAAGTAAACCTAATGCTTTCTAAATAGCCACAAACGTATATGAATATATAAATATTTTTATTTTTAGTCACTCCTCGATGTTCGATAGATACACTGAACAAGTTTCT